TTTATTTAGATAAGCAAGTCAGCACAAAGCCAGAAGATAGCGAAATGAAGGTTACGGTTACGTAGGATTTGTTTTATTTTTTAACTTGAAGAAATCTTCTGAATTTTTAAATAAACCGTGTCTGCTTTTTACAAACGTCTTATTTATATGAAATAAGAATTGTAGTAGAGAAAATATTGGAAAGAGTCAGACTAATTCAGTTAGCGTTTTAGGTATTACGGGTTTTGGTTTCAGAATATTATTTCACAGAATTTTTTTTATGTTACTATGTCTTAAGTCTAAATGTCTTGTAGATTGTTAGTTGTATCTTAAAGTTTTTCGTTTACATGTTTTAATTACGTAGTAAATTTAATTACATTACTATCAAGTAACGCGACCCAAAATTCTCGTAATTGAATACAAGTGTCTCATAAAATGTCGGGCAATAGCGCCGAGTAAATTTACACAAATGTCCCAAGACAATTAATTTCGAATCGCCCTCACAACTGTATTGACATTGCCAGAGATGAAAATCAAATATTAACATAGAAAAATTATATTAATTAGAAAAGTAATAATTACATTTTGACATATTTTACTTTAAAACTTTCATATAATAATTAATTTTACGCAAGATTAGTTAAAGTTGTAAGATTCTATCAATATGTATCTATACTTAATACGTACTTACATTGATATGTCACATAATTATTATAAAATTCGTCAGTTTTTATTAAAATTCGGCGTATTAAAACTGATTGTAAAAATAAATTAAATAAACGGGACCATTACTTTAACCAATCAGAAAAATATAATTATCTTTAACTTTCTCCAGATATCTAGAATTAGAAATTTTAAAATTACGAAGGGTTTCAGAATAGCGACTAATTCGTATATCACAGTTATACTAGGTAAAAGTCTAAAGTATAAAAATGCTACCACTATAATTGCCGATTGCGAATTCTACGATTTTTTTGTTGATTTTGAATGCACAAAACATCTGTTTAATCCTCTTCAATATTCAATTAAGTAATGTTTGCAAGTTTGCTTAACTTACCTTTAAGATGGATTCCCATGTCGAGAATTACTTTCGACCCGTCTGCCTTGTCAATTCCTGTTTCACACTTAACTACTAACTTCTATGTAAAGGTTAGTTAACTGACTTTGCTTGTTTGAATCACTAAGCTGCGGAAACCTGAATCTGACAGCATTTGTATTCTTTGGCCAAGCTTTTTCGCACTCTGATAGTAAAATATTAGCTAGAGCTATTAGTTTTTTATATCAGTTTATTAGCTAGAACTTGGATACAATTAAAGGTATATCTGCGATAAAAAATTACTACTTTTTATTACAATTTTCATGTCCATGACGTAGTAAATCGTCATATTAAATGTTAATGTCGTATATGGGTAGTTTTTATTCTTTCTCTCATTGCAAATTAATATAGAGGTCTGACATTTTATTTACTCTGAACTCATCAGGATTATAGGTATCAGGTAGTCAGGTTCGCTTTGTGCTATTCAATAGAGCGCTGAGTTAACATAACTAGTGAATACTTTAATCCACATTTTTTATAATAACTGTCTTCTCCCTACGATATTGCTTATGCGTTCTTTTTACTCATATTATCGTTTGTTTGTGATCAAAGCTTAAAGTTTTGTTTTTAAGATCTAATGGCAAGTAGGTAAAATGTAATTTTATATTTCGATGACCAGGTCTTAGTTCTATTTAATTGTAATGTATAGATTTTTTTAATAAATATTGAAGAAAATGTCGCTTAAAGATTTTTATTTACTTCTTTCTGTCTTCGTCAGTCTGTTCGTTGATTTCCGAGAACAAAATTCCTATAAAAATATATCGTCATCGGATTTTGTCTTCAGAAATGTAGTTTAGTGATTTTATGATTTATCAATATAAATTTGTCTAAGAGTGTATTCATTCCTTTAATCCTAACCTAGAAACCATGTATTTAATTATTTATTAGTTACTCCTAAACTAATTCAGTGTTCGTTGTTCAACAAACGATGGTTTGAACATAAACAAATTACCGCAGCATTAGCACATGAATGTCCAAAGTTATACCTGACAGCAATATACCATCACAAAGGAATACATTAACTACGGACTTACGGGAATGCTTTCAAACAATTCAACAATCTCTCTAAATCATAGGTCAAATAATAATTTATTCTAATGGAACGTAAATGTAGTTACCTAAGTAACTTCATCACAAAAATATTATAAAATGAACATCGAATAATACTATAATAAAGGTAAAAAAAATCTCCCCGGCGGGGAATCGAACCCCGGTCTCCCGCGTGACAGGCGGGGATACTTACCACTATACTACCGAGGATATGTTTTAGATGTTCAATAAGTATAATTTTAGAAAAGTAACCTGTGTTTATAAAAAATCAAATTTTAAAAAAATGGAGTTTCATAAGGAACTCAGGTAAAAAACGTAGAGCTACGTAAACGTAAGTTAGAGCCACCACAGTGATACTACCAGAAACTCAGAAATTCTTGTCTGGAAAACATTGTTAGACAAAGACTTTGCTATAGTTAACATACCAGTGGACTTAACAGTTTTTCTAACAAAAATCTATCTTTCTCGCTCGCAAAATGGTAACGTGGCGGCGAACACACGTCCTTTACGCATGTAACCCTTTCCAGCAATGCCTCTGGGCTATCGGTATAAAAGGAAATAGACCGAAGATTTGATAAAGAAACCATTGATGTGGTGTTATTAATTTATAATCTGTTATATCTGCTCTTTGGTTTTTTCCTTTTTGGTCAAGAGCGCGTATGTTTGAATTGCAATGCTTTCGTAGATCAGTGTTTAAGGGAAAGTTATAGATAGAAAAAAAAACGCTTTTAAGAAATAATATTTATTAAAGTGACAATTGTTTCAGTGTATAATTAATAATGTAATATTACATTTAAACATTTTAGAACATCTTCATATCAAATCGAAGCGGCGAAAGCTTTCATCTTAAATGTAAACTTATTCGACTTATTGCTAATTATAGAAAGAACGTATAAAGAAATTGTCATTTAATCTTCAATGGAAAGGTGGGAGCGAGATTCTAAAATGCGTTAGGGACTTGAGATTTAAAAAAAAATAAGGTAAAAGATCATTATTCGCGGGTATTATGTTACGCAAATCAAACAGTCCGACGAAAAGAGTTATATCATAAGAGATGCCATAAGACATGTAACTTTTTTTGTTAGATAGGCCGAAATAAGTTATCAATAGGAAATTATAATTTGTATAACTTATATAACAGCCTTTTCACTTTTATCGTCTTAACATAACATTGGAAATGTTTAGTTTTTTTATTTATTATATATTAAATTATTCAAACTTTCGTGAGACATTATAATAAAATTATATAAAAACGTTTTTATATAACTTTTTCATTATAGATGTTTTTTTTAATGCCATCCCTAACGGTATTAAAGAATTATAAATTACGATTCATATAAAAATACATATTTTTGCTTATATAAATTGCATCATTTTGTGCCAAATAGATTCGAACAGACACGCATTGGATAAAACCGTAAAACTTTTATTAGGTCCATATTATTTTTTTGTATACGAAAACTATTTTAAATTTATTGTAAACTAAATTCACATCGGATTTAAATTTTTTTAATACACTTTAAGGCAACTTCAAAACCCCCACTATAAGGCATAGTAGGAACTAGTAAAGGCATTTTAATTCAATATTTATGTAAAAGAACATGTAAATGTAGAATTTGAGATAATTTTGGCACTTTAAAATTTCGCTTTAATCGTTCAACAAAATAAAAATGGAAGATTTGTAATCCAAAAAAAAAAGTTTTAGATCAACATGGATCAATATAAAATGATTGTGACAAAAGCATAAACATCCATTTCCACTGCTGAAACATGAACAAAAACATGTTATCTATGAATTTATACACAGGACATAAAATCAGTGTAGCGCAGTTGCTATGCGCTTGACCGGACTGCGCAAAAATCTGTACCCGCAGGTTTGTGTCACCCCTTGTACAAATGTGTTCAAATTACATATGTAAATTATCCGACGTTCTTTCTTTTTATAACAGAAGGGGGCAAACGAGCAGCGGGAACACCGAGGTGTTCAACGACGCCAATGGACATCAGCAATACCAGAGGAACCGCAGATGCGTTGCCGGCCTTTGAGGTGGTGATAAGCTCGCTTCTTGAAGGACCCTAAGTCGTAGCGGTTTGGAAATACCGCCGAGGACAGACCATTCCACAACGCTGCTGTGCGAGGCAGGAAGTTTCGCGCAAACCGCACGGTTGTGGATTGTCAGCTGAGAGATGGTGTGGATGGAACCTATTCTTACAGTGAATGAAATTATTGAGGTGCACATATCGACGAAAAAAAAAACGTCAAGGGGCGATCTCAAAGGCCACCGTGGTTACCTATCCAGGCTCCGAGCCTATGTGTTTTGTAGAAATTTTTTCACAGTGGAATCTCCCAGTAACATAATAACTTCAATAGTATATAGATTATATCTTAAACATAGCATTTTTAACATTTTAAGCAGTATAATTTACTTTGAGTTACACATTTATTTATCTTAAGGCAAATCGGTAAATTTTTTAACACTGACAAAAACATAAAAGGCACTTGTATAGAAAAGTCATGCTTATTTTAATTATTTTTATATATAGTAAAGTTATATAAATCGATATAAAAATCATAATTTTATTAAAACAAAATTTTAATACTTGACATGAGATTTTAATATTTTTCGTAACTAATCAAAATCAGATCATAGGGACGGTTAATTTTAGCAAATATTATAAATATATTGACATTATTTCAATGAGCACATAACATTGTATATAACTATGCCTCTACCTTGAATATACATATGTAAAAATATTTGAAATTATTTATTTACCATATTATATATGCATAAAATATAATAATATATAAGTTACATACATTAAGATTACATATAAAAAAATAAAATAGAATAGTTGCTTACCACTAGCCAAATTACATAAAAATTAGCTTTTAAAAATAATTGGCTATGCATTAGCATAATTAAAAAAGAGAATGATAAAATTATATGCATGTGTCTTGTGGCGTGCTGGATAAAAGACCGCTTAATAAAGGCCGAGCAGACCCAATAAACATTTCTTGTAGTGACCGGAACAGTCGCCCTGTTACAAAAAAATAATAATTGTTACACACAAATCTATATATATATATATATATATAAAAGAAAGTCGTGTTACACTGTTTATAAGTCAAGAACGGCTGTACCGATTTGGTTGAAAATTGGTGAGGAGGTAGATTAGAGCCAACATTTTTTTTACATTTTTTTAACTTATTAATATTATAAATGCGAATGTTTAGATGGATGTGATGTGGATGGATGGATGGATGGGTAGGCTACACTAATTAAGTTTTTTTTATATATCCACACGGACGGAGTCGCGGGCGACAGCTAGTTAATCATAATAATTACTTTTATAGCGCACCTTAACGAGATTTATGAAGAACTAGTTTTTGCCCGCGACTTCGTTTGCGCAGAAAAAAGTGTCATCCAGACTGATGACAAGATGTTCTACATCTATGCCGAAATTCATTGAGATCCGTTGCGCCGTTCTGAACATACAAAGATCCATCCATTTTTCTAATATTATTAATGCAAATGCTTAGATGGATGGATGAATGTTTGAAGGCATCTTCGGGACGGCTTAAAAGATCTCGCTGAAGTTTGGCATAGATATAGAACTTAGTCTGGAAGAACACATCGGCTACTTATTAAGTTTTTTTAATGCTGCGCGACCGGAGTCACGGGCGACAGCTTATTCATAAATACAAACATTAGTTTATTTCCAAAATATTTTATGTCATTCTACCAACCAGTTTCGCTTAGTAAACTATCTCTTTCGTACGCGGTTATTTCTAATATTTCTATTGCATTCTTACTATAATCCAGTTCTACAATCATCTATCTCTTTCATACGTGTTAATCAATACTTATATAAAGAGAAAATATTTGATTGTTTGCATAGAATAAGCTCAGAAATTCCTAAACAGATTTAAAAAATTCCTTCATTGTTTGAAAGTACACTATCCGCAAGTGACATCGTTCACGTTTATTACCAGATTTTTTCTAGATTCTTACCTCGATCCAGCTCTGCAGTGTTTCTCCGTACTTGGAATGGAACATGTTGGAGATGTCCCCGAGGTCGACTTCGCAGCGCGTCACCATGATGCGGATGAGCTGACGGTCGTTAGTACCCAGACCCTTCATAGACTTGTGCAGACGTTCCGCGAAGAACAGCGGCTTGTTGCGGACCACTTTCACTGGAATTCACGGACAAAATTGGTTACAAATAAAACATTATTCTATTGTTATAGAAAAATAGGATTAGAACATGCATTCTGCGTAGAAACCTACTATATTACTAATATTATAAATAGGAACATTTAGATGGATAGATGTTTGTTAGAAGATATATCCAAAACAGCTAAACGAACGGATCTCGACGAAATTTTACACAGATGTGCAGCATTGTCTAGAAGAACATGTAGGCTACCAATTAAGTTTTTTTTTACATTATAGACTAGCTGTCGCCCTCGACTTTGTCCGCGCGAAATGCAAAATGACTAATTACCCCATATGTTCTTCATACTATGTTCTGCATCTATGCCAAATTTCAGGCAGATCCATTCAGTCGTTCTGGAGATACCCTGAAACAAACATCCATCCATCCATCCAGCTATCCATACAAACATTCGCATTCATAATATTAGTAATATAAGTAATAACATAACAGACATAGTATACTGACCAATAGCTCGTAGAGCCTTCTCCAGGTCTCCAGAGAATTCTGCTTTGATGGCGTCATCGATGTCATGCCCGGTGAGGAAGTGGTACTCCTGGAAGATGGCGGCCAGCTGCGGGAACGAACGCGAGCAGAGCACCGCATTGAACACCGACTCGTCTGTCCCCAGGCGCAGCTCACCTGGAAATATACATCTTGTTGGGTTTCCACTGTATAAAACTAAACAACCCTCTTACAGAAACTTTCCGTAGTGAAATTTTAAGGTTATTCAAATCAGCTGTCGAAGTGTCAATATGTTTGTGAGAGAATTTTTACAAGACAATAACTTTGAGTTTTAATACAACTTTAGTAATTACAAGCTCGACGTATTTGAATTCGTACAGTGAGAAATAATTTTATTGGATGTTTAAACATAGCTTATAATTATTATGTAGGATATCGTGTGATATATTTATGTACCTGCTTGCAGCAGGCTTCTTGCGTCTTCTCTAGCTTTTTGTTGATCTACGTGGAAATCTTCAGATCTGTTACCCTGGAATATGAAAAAAAAAAAAATTTTGAAATCGATCCATATTTTGAAGAAAATCAACAGACAAAGAGTATTTTTTTCTGCATTAACATCATTAGCCATTTTCCGTTTTCGACGCTACATTAATATTTTACAGAGGAAAGATTTGATTGTTTGTTTATCTGCATTTTTGAATATGCTCCGAAACTACTAAACCGATTTAAAAAATTCTTTCAACGTTGAGAACTTACAATATCCCCGAGGGACATAGGCTATATTTATTACTAGATTTTTTAATTCCACGCGGACGAAGTCGCGGGCAACTGCTAGTAATTAACACATATTTAAATACCAATCAATACAATGATATCATTATTAGTACGTTATATAATAACTTAGTTGTAAACAAGGAAAGTACTTACCATACAGAGTGACGTCATCAGCCGCTTGAAATTACCCGACGTGTCTCCGCGCAAATCATCCTCGAGCAAGGTCCCGTAAACTGAAATAAGTACATTGAAAATTACACACAAATACTTTGAAACAAGACTTTTTTGTGCAATCTCTACATGTAACGATTTTTTTTTTCATATGATAATAAACTCGCCAATACCATTGCCTTGAATTTATTAACTAAACAACTGAATAAATCTTACCTTGGGGTTTTGAGACCAAAATCTCCGATCAATATTGTTACCTCTATTTTTTAAATGATTAGATGTTTTACACAGACATTTTGGTCTCGGAAACCCACAGCTAGTACTTATTGATTAAGTTCACTATTGTGATAGTTATAATTTGAGTGGAGGTGGCCACATTGTATAGCGTTCCATTTTTATCAAACCGATCTAATCATAGTTGTACGATCTACAAATGTGGCTGTTCCAAATACAATAATTCATCCTAGTTAGCATTTCAAAGCGGAGTTCACTTGTATAAGACCTCTTTAGAATCTATACAATTTAACTATAAAAAGAATCTGTTAAATCATGTATGTTGAACGTTGCGCGTTCATTTCAAACCTATGCCTTACTGTGGGTTTCTGGGACCGAAATCCCCAAATAAAACATATTGTTATCTTTGTTTTGTCAAAGAAAATGAGGTTGTATATGTTTCATACAGAGATTTTCATCTCAGAATCCAACGGTTGAAGTATTTTAAGATTTCCGTTCTCTTTACCATAAGTAACCATAAACAAGTTTCTTATCTTCTGTGTGATTAAAGATAACGATCTATTGACCCAGAGGAGATACACGAGTCTGTTGCCGTATTATTTAAAGCAAGTGTACTTTAAGAAGGGAAATGATTCATTAGCTCGAGGTTGATTCGACGTAATACGTGAGTTTTTTCATACATACAGCTTACGTCATACATTACTCATACATACGTAGTTTTATACGTTTTCTTTTTGTATACATTAACGATTAGTTTCGTCATTTAATATGATTCAACGTATCTTTTAGCGTCATTGACTTATGTACCAACAGTACTCCTTTTTAAATAACAGTTGATTTTTATTGATACCAAATGATTAACTTGCATATATGTACTTAGTTTTCCTTAGGATTGCGTATACATTGCACAATAATAAACATGAGTAATGAACGGTAAAAGGAAACGGTAGATAATTGTGAATCATTGACTCTCAAATGTGAGTCTACTAATAAAACTATTACTAACAAATAATACAAATTAGGAACAGGTTTTTTTGCAACATATACCGTGTCTAGATGCTCTATAATATATTCATTGATTTATTTTAATAATGCACGCGTCATTCGAATAGGTTTGTAATTTAAAATGTGCAATGGTCCGTAACATAGTGGTTTCGTAAGCACTTTCTTTCGCCCGGTACACAAACCGACAAGACATCATCATCAGCTCACAGCTTGTTTGTTTAAAGGCATCCCAAGAATAGCTCAACGGATCACTCTGAAATTTGGCATAGATGTAGAACACACGGACGGAATCGTGGACCACAACTAGTGATTATTATAAAGTCAATACTCACTGGCGGTGTACGCTTGCTTGATGACGTGTATTTCATGGTTGGACATTGTACACATGACCTCGATGAGCACGTCCTCATCAGTGCCAATGCCAGCGGTGGCATCGTGCAGTTCCTTGGCGTAGAATTGAGGCAATGGTGTCATCAACGCCACCAACAGATCCTCAAACTTGCCGCTTGTCTCGCTCTTCAGGTCCGACACTAAATCCTATTAATAAACAAACAAGTATAATAAGACCCAAACATGTTACAAATACCCCAAGTAAGATAACCCAGAAGTAACATTCTTTTTTTTAATTTGAATTTTTCTTCAAAAAAATTCTGATTTGTGCATTCGAAACGTTCAAACCTTCAAAGTTTTATCATTGTTATTCCAAGCACGTCCCGTTGCAACCGCCACTTGACGATTATCAACGGTTTCTAAAAATAAACATAAGATACGAGCTACCAAAAATTATACATTTTTCCTGTACGTTGTATTATATTTTTACAATGCAGACGACTATAAAGACGTATTTTAAAATTTTAACTAGGTTTCTAGACTAATATTATTTTGGTCTCGTTACCATGGAAACCTATTAAAAATAGGTATTATTGCATGAAAAAAAATTACATTCACGCGAACTTACGGTACCCTGGGGAAATTTATTGAATAGCTTAATAATTTGATGTATAACAATTTATATTAATATGCGTCCCGTAATCAACACGAATAGGGAAAACTAACAAGGGCAGTCAATGATAAAGTTAGCTTGTGGAAACAGGATTCCACAATATAAGAACATAATACACATAATTGTAGCTAGCATATCTACCAGCATGCCTTTCTTACTTACTAATATTATAAATACGAATGTATGTTTGTTAGAAGGTATGTCTAGAACGACTGCGTGGATATCGCTGAAATTTGGCATAGATGTAGAACATAGTCTAGAAGACCACATAGGCTACTTACTAATTCAGTTTTTTTTATTATACGCGGACGGAGTCGCAGGCAACAGTAATACGATAAACTCTATCCGCCAGTGCATAATGGTATGAATGTTAACACGGTAAACCCATTTCTATGTTATCGCTCACATTGTTTTTTTATCATCGTACGAGTATTTTAAAAATAAACAATCGGGTATTCCCATTACTCTAAAGTTAAACATCGATTGTTCTATTGGCTCTACTCCATACGAGTGACGTAGCGAGCGTCACACAGTTCAAATATCTACATCATAGTTGCATTCATGGGAGACAAAATGAGATTCGTCATTATTTTGCTTCTTATTTAGACTTTGACATTATTTTGATTTGCTACTCATAAAGAGGAGAGCAAGGGTGATGATATAAGGCCCTAGTATCATGTAGGTGTGGCTGATAACATAATTAAGGTGGCAATGATAGTCCACTCCTCCTTACTGACGTCAAAAGGTGCTTTTACTTTTCATAAATCCATATACAATGTACATCAAGTAATGGTTGATTTCTTATATATATATAAATAATGGCCGAAATGTTTTATACATGAATTTTAATCTCAGAAACCAACGATCAAAGGTTAAACCATTTTATCAAAGTGATATACATTTTGATGTATTCAGATTTGCTTTTACGGCTCATGAATGCTAACAATACAGAAGTTTGAGGCATGGAGTAGCACGAAAAGCGTACTGTAATATGCCAAAATGCTATTGTGATATCTCTTGTTCTAAAAATCTATGTTTATCATAATAGCTCACCTTTCCATAAAGAGTCTTGAACTCGAATGCGATGCGCAGGCGCTGCTCGTTGCTGCGGCGTGTAAGCACTTGTATGATGGCCTTCTCATCAGTACCGAATCCTTTCATAGCCTTGCGGAGGACCGCCGCATCTTCGCGCGGGTCGAAAGGATTCACCGGCACCACGGTCGGTTTGGACTATCAAAATAAAAAAGGTGTTAAAGAGAAAACATAAATAAGAGCGTCGTAGACAGATTTAGATACAGATGTCGCCTGTGTGACATTTTGGAGAGAATTAATACTGACATTTAGGATATCTTGATTATAACTTTAAAAGCAGTCGTCGTACAATTATCACCACCGATTGTAAACAAAACACACGGTGTATTTTAAGAGTCCATTTTAATTATGGAAAACATAGTAACAAATTTAAAAATTTAGAAAATTTTAAATAAGTCACGTGTCAGAAAAAGGGCTTTTATTTAGACTACAGTAAATATTTCACTTTAGTTAATATTTTTGATAATCTTCAGTTACAGACGTATGATTCACCACATACGATTGTGACCATGAGAGTCTAGCCAATGGCTAAGCAATGTACAAGGTAATCTTTCTAGTTTATCTAATAAAGGATCTGAATCAACATCAGAACAAAGACCCTTAAAAAGAATTAGGTGGAAGTAATAGAAAAAAAGCATCGATGATTATCACTTTTTTTACTTCAATAACCGTGCGTTTCCACTGCCGCAACGCCAACTAAAACTTTCAATATGTTTGCAATAACAGAAAGAGAACGATAAACTTGAAATATAATTGATTGAATATTTTATTTAGGTGTGTTGACAATGGAAACTTACGATTGCTACTTTTAATCTAAAATCATCTGGAACTATATCAAAAAACCAATAACGAATCAGCAAACAAACATGTATACCGTGAAACGGAACGATTTGAACCCGCGCCGTAAACCAATCGTGGCTCTATAGGCGCTGCGCATACTAGAATTAGATGTGACAGAGGACATATTGATTGTTGAGGAAATGTTGCGTCAGGGAAATAATACATTCAACACAGAAAACACGGAACAGTCACATCACAAATCACAAGCACAAAAACATTCAAATCTATCCAAATATGAAACAATATACGATCAAACGCACAACACCCATTTTACTGAGGACCAAAGTCAAGACTGAGTCTGAGTCGTGGCTTATTGTGATAAATGTCCGCGACGAGGCGAAGTGAACATAACAATGTAATTGCTGCAAAATGTTCCTTGAATAGAGCGAGAGCATATACATATGGCTGCTTCGTAAGTCAGTATCAGAGGAATCTTCATACGATACACCTCTATGCTAGATTGTTTCCAAAGAATTATCGTAGCCATTTTCGAAAATCGAACGCCATTTTTTGGGATGAAAACCGAAAATATCGTTATAAAACTTATTAAAATAGAGGAAACATACCAGAAATTATGATTATATAGGATTTAAATATTTATCTTTGTCATAGTCAGCTCACTATATGTCCCCACTGGCTAAGAGCATACCCAAGTGAGGGGTAACTAGACCATAGTCAACCACTCTGGCCAAGTGAGGGTTGGCTGCCTCACACATATCTTTGAATTTCTTCGAAGATATGTGCAGGTTGCATCACGATTTTCCTTTACCGTAAGAGCGTCAGATAAATGTAAAAAATGAGTAAGAGCTTCTACTAATATTTCTTAGCTGTTACGGAGAAGTCATCAACCTAATCATTATTCAGTGAGCACTAGAATAACTGTCATTAAATAAGGACACTAAGGAGAATGTGCTTGCATACTTAATACATAAATTTGAAGTAGGAATAAATATATGCCCGGCCCATAATAAATAACTTCTGTCTGCTTTTTGGGCTACAGGAATTATACATTTATTTATACAGAAAACAAGGAAATTTGTTCACTCTTAAAATCAATACCAACCCAATTGGCATATTGCCAAGTCCGATTACACAATGAAATGAATACATAGAGATGTTTGAATATAACATAGGAGTATTATAAGTATTTTGTGATTTCATCAATAAGTAGGTGTCATTAATATTATTATCTTAATTTGATCGTGGTTCCGACTAATTTGAATACAGTCAGCTGTATAATAATTTTTCATATACAAACTTCACTACCTCATATACGCCTTTGAATTCAACATATTGTACGGACTTAACCATCTACATGCTTCCGATGAGTGTATGCATACATATTCTTGAAACCAAAGACCTATACAAGTTTCTAAAGTTTTTTTAATATGTAAATATTTATGCAGCTGACTGTACAAAAGTCATTCCTTTGCAACTTCAGACAAAGCACTCTGTAATCTGAAACAGTTTTTTTTTATAAATCTATTTATATAATAGTATATCCTTTATTTCTTGGATTCAATAGATAAATTCTATTTACTAAACTTATCAGGAAGTATATTTTCTTAATTCCTTAACAAGTAGAATAGTTTCAACAAAATATGTGCAGGTTTAAACACAAAGTATACTCTTTTATAATAAAAATTGATAACAATCTTGTGTGGCCACTGTTTGAACATATTTGATTGAGGATAAACCTATTCAAACTATTTCTACATTACGTAAACACCAAGGTTATGTCTATCCATTTCCTATCTAGTTCATGAATTGCGGTGTTTGCCAACTCGGTGCCAAGATAAACATTCCATGTACAGTGGCAATAATCTAATTAAGTAGAAAATTGTAAATTATGTAGAAAAAAAAATTACCGAAGACATAAAATGGAAAATTTTATATCTGTGATAAATTATAGGACATGGAATACATAAGTTGACTAGAAACTCTTAATACTTGATGTTAATTAATGGTATTTAATTAAATGTTTAATGATTGTGATTAGGTGAAAAATGGTTTTCAGAATGAATAAATTAGGCATAAAAATTGTTATATTTATGTATAAAAATTTTGTTAAGCAACAAGCACACAGATTAAGTTAAGCCAATGTCTTGTTTATCACAAATAAATATTTGCCAAATTAGCACAAGTATGTGAAATGTATGATAATAATAATAGTCACGACATACCTTCGTAGTGTTAGCCACTGGGTTTGAAGATACACTGTAAGTTTGTTGGCTTTGTGCATGAGACTCATTATGGGGTGGGTAGCCCTGATATTTATTGGTCTCTGGATAGCCTGGACTTGCCTGGGGGTACCCTGTTTGAGCTTGTGGGTATCCTTGAGCTGATTGTGGGTATCCTTGAGCTGATTGTGGGTATCCTTGAGCAGATGGTGGATATCCCTGAGCAGTTTGAGAGTATCCCTGAGAAGACTGGGTATACCCCTGTGCACTATTTGGATAGCCCTGACTTGGAGGATACCCAGTATTTTGTTGTGGGTAGGGCTGGCTAGATTGAGGGTATCCGGACGCCGCAGAGTATCCCGGCTGTGGCGGGGGATAGCCCATTGTGGGAAAACCCGCCATCGGCATAGGATTTCCAAACGACTGTGGAGCCGTGTTGCTAAATCCAATGTTATGTAGGTATGGCTGTTGCGGATACCCCGATTGGCCCTTAAAACCAAATGAAAACGACAATAATTACAAAAATTCTGAGCAATGCATTGTTTTTTGTGATAAACAAAACAAGGTTAACTATTTTATCTACGTGCACTAGTTTAGATTTTTACTCACTTGTTGATACGGATTCATTGTGTATTGATACTCTTTTAAATGAATAAACACACAAACTTGATTTCAAATATAAATCTTTTGTTTTTAAAACTTTCACTTCAGTAAAAACTAGAACGCTACTGTAGTACTGGACTAAATTAAAAGGACACCGACTCCCTAAGTACAAGAGGGCAAAGCGCCTGACTGGCAGTCCGTTCCGTTCTGACAGAAAAAGAAAACGACTCAAATGTCAATGTCAATTTGTGAATAGACCAAAGACATTTGACGAACACGTCATTGTTCTAGAGAATAGCCATCTTGCTAACTTTAACGATATTTTACTGCACAGTTTTACTAGTTATTTTGTTCAATTATTTGATTCTGATTATTGGTATATCTGTTGTAAGGGACATTTTTAATCGCACTTTTATCGATTTAATCTAATACAGTCTTAGCGCCATCTATTGGCAGAAAATGAAAACATTAACAACTACAAAAATGCTTAACTTCGTTACAGCTTTTGAAAGAACGTAAAATAAATTAGGAAAGTGGGGGGACCAAGTATGATAATGATAAAAACATTTTCTATTTTTGTTATTTTAGAAATCTTGTCACCTTAAGTATATTATCAATATAATATCAATTAAACTGGGGATGAACAACTAAATGACACCAAACTCGACAAAAAAGGTCGTTAGGCCGTCACAAAGATCGCACATACATACCCATCCACATAAATAAATAATTACATATATCCGTAAATCATTACCTTCCTCAGTGAGTTGGATAATAAGACAATGATAAAATAAAACTTAAAGACATAAAAGTTATCAAGAGTTTATTTGATCGATATTACAAAAACATCAAGTTACGTGAAAGATAAGTATAAAATTCAATTATATATTAGGTGATCAAACAATGCGATGCCTTTGTTATATAAATCAGTCACTTCAACCGCTGGTTTGTCTCCACTAATCAACCACACGCTGCCGCTTGATCCTTTCTTGTAGGTGTCGACAACTCCGCGAGCTGCAGACTCAGGGCTGAAAGCATATGACAATGTTAAAGAAATTCGCAACTACAGCCAGGGTTAATAACAAGCGCCGAATAGATCAAGAGAGATAACGGGGAACTCATATAAGCCTCAAAAGGTGATTTTTATTTGAACCGCATAGATAGTTTTCAAGGTAATATAGATTGAATACTGAAATTGCTTTTTCTATAAATTCTTACAAAGTTGTACATTTTTTGTTACCTTTGCCATTTCAATTTTTTTAATGTTGCCACAATACCAGCTTCAACTTTGGGATCAAAACTTCCCATTTTTTCTGCGGAGAGTAGAGGCGTGTTGGTCGCTCCGAAGCAAACCGTCAAGAATCGAACTCCAGTTCTTGTATAATACAAGTCACTCTAAAAATCACAACAGTAATTAGTTTAAAAATGACTTTAGTGACTATTGTATATATCCTATTAGATTATTTTGTGTATGGTCAGTTATATTTACAAAATAACATGTTTCCAATAAAGTTAATACTTACACCCATTGCCGTAGTAAACTTCAGTACGGCAGCTTTTGTTGCGCTGTAAATTGGTGTATCTGGTACGCCACAAATAGCTGCTACCGATGACACATTGATCACAACACCACCTTTACCCCTTTCGTCTTTGCGCATCAGTTCTAATGCTTTTAAAGAGCTAGTAACCAACGCTGTCTGGAATGATACAAAAAATCAAGGATTAATATGGTTTGATGAAGTTTAGATATGGATGCAGTTGTTTTTAACACGTTCTATGCCAATACGATTTCACATTAAAGAGAGATCGCATGAAGTATATCGAATATCGGTTTTAACAAATAAATGTTACTAATATTATAAATTCGATTATTTGGATGAATGGATGTTTGTTTGAAGGTTTCTCGAGAATGGTTGTATCGCTGAAATTTGGCATAGATGTAGAACACAGTCTTGAAAAACATAGGCTACCAGTTAAGTATTTTTTAATACCGCGCAGACGGAGTAGTGGGCGACCGCTAGTGAAATGTAATTTAATTACCAAAAGTTACTTACCACATTGATGTCTATTTGTTTAACGTAAACCTGTAAATTGTCGTTGAGAATGCCAGCATTGTTAATCACGACATCAATGTAGCCGAATTCATCTTTGACTTTGGCAAACGCTGCATTTAATTCTTCAGCGTTTGATACGTCGCCTTTAATGAATTGAACTTTATTGTTCCCGTATTCAGAGTTTAGTTCATTTTGGAATGCGATACCTGCTTCCACTGCTATGTCTAAGATAGCAACATGCTGTAATACACATGAAATTAATTATTGTGTCAATGGAAAATTAAAAATAAAAAGAATAATAAAACTACCAATTATTATTATCGATGAATTAAACTCAGGTTTTATCCATTTTAGATCTTCTCTATCTAACAATGAGCTCAGGAATGTTTACTTATTATTGTGTGTATTGTTATTTCATAATTTCAAGTGTCGACTGTATATGTATATATAGATTAATTTTGTCTTAGTAGATTCATGTTTGGAATCTATTTTTTGAGCTATGGGCACTGGAAGTATATTAGTAGACTATAATGGTGTACTTTACTTAACCTCACTGTAATGTTTGAGCGTTATTACGCAAATATTATTTCCAGTTGTGTTTACTGGCAAGACAGTAAATTATTAATATACATTTATTAATTTTGAAAAAACGTAATTGGAAATAGCACAAGTTTATCAGAGGGCCTAAGGCGTATATTCGTGAGAACGTTTCCGTAATGTAATCGGCAAAGTTTATATAAAAAATTGTGCTGTACCCCTAGGGCTTAAGTGTAACGTAGGGCCTAAGTCAAACATTTCACCAACAAATCTCATACTCATTTTGACACAACTGACTTAAAAGAGAAGCGGGCTATCAATTATTCGTTTTTTAAAGTATGTTATCACATATTAATATCGATGGCGTTACAAAGGCGCGTGTCGCAAACATTCGTACTAAGCCTTCTGGGCCGGAAACAGAGATACTGCTATCGTAGTTATCTATAATTTAATATCTATCGGAAAAAACATGTAAAATTTTATAAGTAGGAATTGATATAAAAAACGTAAGAAGACTGCAAAAGTGCTAAAAGTAGAAAATGGTCTTGTGACGCCTTCATTAACAAGGGGGCGCTGGGGATCTATTTGACTTATGCCGGCCAGGTCAGACAACTTCGACAGTCTATAATCACCACAGCACTTACCGGTGGTTTCTGAGACCAAAATCTTTGTTTAAAACATAATGTAGTCTTCGCTGTCATTATTTTTGACAAAATATTAATAACTATAATATATGTTTTAAACAGGGATTTTCTCAGAATCCCATGGTTAGCGTGTCATTTAGAATAAGTAAAAAAATATAATCCAATTTTAATCTATTGTTCGTCATCAAATCATCGCGTGTTATGGTTATATTTATCAATAATGATAAAATGTTCATGAAAACAATTCAAAGTATAATATGCACTTTGTTAATACTCGTAATATTTTTAACGTCATGTATGCTTTGCCGATAATGCAATTACAAATAGCATGCCAGCTTACATAAGAACTAAAAAAGTAAAGTTTTGAAAAAATGCAATAATGATGTGCGTGCAAAACAATATCATAGGGTTGTTCAGTGCAAAAATAACATTCTGCCAAAGACGTGACATACTGGCCACTAAGCGCCTTTTGCTTTTTAATTATGTAAAAAAGTTAAGTGAAAAAAAGAGAGGAGAATAGCGCGGGAAGTTAAGAACGACATGTAGTCGGAATTATATTATATTGTAAATAATCTATATAGTTTAGTATATGCATGTTAACAACATAATAAACGCATTTTGACTGCCTTGCTGCTGTTTTCAATTTATACAAAAGTTAGTTACAAGGAAGAGGCAATTTTTCTCTAAGTGGACTAGCACTAGAGGCTACTCTATATAAGTACACAAAAATTTGGTCATGACGATAAATAAATGAAAATGTATGCCATTAGATTAGATTCTTTAAGAGTCCTTGTCTAATCGTAGTTTTTTCTTTAATAAAGCTGGTTGGTTGGCTGACTGGTTACGTAATGGCTAGAAGGTCGAACAAGAGAGATTGAAAAATCAGTCAGTGCAACAGATGAGATTTGCCGGGATCGCTCGAAATTGAAATACGTTATCCCTAATTTACTGGTGTAAAACATCGTGGTGCAACCTGCACATATCTGCGATGAGAAGACAATCATCCCTCACTGGGCCAGGCCGGTTAACGATGGTCTAGTCATCCCTAACTTAGGGTAAGCTGATGATGACCGGTGTATTTGTTAATATGCATTAGTATCTATAATTGATAGATTTACCTTTGCCTCCTCTGCAACAGCTATCCGAACCACCCTGGAACCAATACCAGTGGCAGCTCCGGTGATCAAAATAACTTTATCCTTTAAGTCGTAAGTCATTCTTGCTAATGATACTTAACGTACAATGTCAAATTTTATAAACAGTAGTTTTATCTTTACATATCTATAGATCAGCGAAGTTATCTAACCCGGTGCGCATCAGTCAAACTAAATTATGATAACTCACTAACGTCCTTTTGTCAATTGAAAATACGTGTCACTAACTCCTTTTCTACTTATTGTATTGAACAAATGATAATGACAATTCAAAGGCGCTGGTCGCCAATATTTGCTGCTAAGCCCACATCAATCGTAGAGTTCCCTCAAAATTAAAATTTTTTTTCGTTTGATTGAAAGCCGTGTGGACCCTAGGTGGTTATGATGGAATGGACAGTATGACATACCTGTACCAAGATTATAATGTTTATTCAAAAAATTTGAACTACCAAAATATTCCTTCGAACTTCTGCATACTGATTTGGCTGCCGATTCTTGGTAAAGTAAGGTGAATAAATTGGAAAAAAGGTTTAACGCTATTTGCTTTTCTCTGGAAATAAAAAATATTAAAAGACAATATTTTTTTTTTGTAAAAACAAACGTTTATTATTTTCTTGTTATAACCACCAGTGTGTTTCCACTTTTTTCCTTGAATTGTTCCTTGATTTATTTACACTCACATATAAATGCTTTAGTTAACATGGCAATCTTGAAACGATTTCTCGTGCGTTGCTTTTGTAAATTTTATATCACTTGTATTTATAAACTTCAATTACCTAAGTATAATGGCTGATGTTATTGATGAAATAGCATTTTTATCAGGCGGCGTTCATGGTATTGTAGCTATGGTTGTTAAAAATTAACAGTGGCAGACCCCAGCAACAACATCTGTTTTAGGAATAGGTTGGCTCTAGTCAAAATTGGTTAAGTGGAAGCAATTCTGCGTTTCGTCGGATTAGTGTGCGTACCGGAGGCCTAATTTTAGTTCTCTTTCCGTCCGTTCTTTATGAGAAAGTAGGTTATACATCTTAATAGATTTTAGATTTAAATTTCGTCAATGATTCCCCTAACAGCAATAGATCTCATAGAAATCGGAAAAGGGTTACATAAATAAAGGCTGAATATACAATAATATTATAATTAAAAAAAATTATATATTAAAATCTTTTGTATTTAAAAAATAACAAGAAAAATTAAAAATAACATTACGATCCGCCGACGTCATTACAGCGATTTTGGAGTCCCTCCCTGACACTTACGGTAATGTCTACAGGAGGCTTATTACTAGCTATTATCCACGTTGAGCCATTTTCTGCTTTCTTTATTACATCAATTATACCTTTTACAGCTGACTCAACTCTGGAAATAATGCAAAGGAACAACTTTTAAATTGCAACACAACTTTTACACTTTACGTATTATCCAAAATGTTAATTGATCATGACTTTCCACCCTTTTTACCCATATTAAATGTTAGATATCTAGGCAAAGCATGAAGAATAAAGCGTAGAAACTAATGAGTCATGGCCACCTCTTTTGATGATGCGTATTTTCGCCGGAGCTTTGGGTACAGGATTTACCTAGAAAGGGTATTCTAAAACCACGATACATAATATTCCGTTTGTGCAATAACTATTTTTAAACTTTACGTGTAAACTTACCTCTGTCTTTCTGGAACACGCGAAGTAAAACATTGCGTACAGCCTTTGTCAAAAAGTTCCGAGTTATGTTTGTGAAGGATCGCAGTGTCGGTTGGTCCAAGACAAACTGACAATACACGAACTTCCGATTTGGAGTATGATTTATTGATCTGAAAATTAGAGCAGAACTAATTTAATCAAGAGACAAGGTTGAGTTTTGTAATACATTAAAAAGTTTCGTAGTTATCACTTTAATTCGACTAACTGCAATAAAATAGTTGATAACGTGACGATTCATAAACATCAACAAAGTCAAAAAGGTAAAAGGTGAATAAAATATCATATTTAAAAAAAATATTAAGTCGCACTTACAGCAATACTATTTGTAAACTGTAGAACAGCTGCCTTTGTCGCAGAATACACTGCTAGACTGTTACTGGGTGTAAGAGCCATCATAGATGATACGTTCAGGATGACACCGCCTGATCCTCCTTTATCCACTGCCATAGTAGCTAACGCTCTTAGTGTACTGGAAATAACAGCGGACTGAAAATTACAAGCGATTGATTAGTTAAATAATATCTTATTAATTATTTTGTCACAGCCCCTTACAGTTTAGCTTTAGCTACTAAGTTACTTCTAATAATCTTATATTTCGGTGCTAAGAATTCTCATTATATGCTTTGTCTTCTGGTAATTTTTCAACCGAGAAAAGTAGATTTTATACTTACAAAATTAACGTCAACCATTCTCTTGTACAAATTCTCCTCCTCGCTAAGGATTGCTGCATTGTTAATGACTATATCAAGCCTGTGAAACTTATTTATAACTTTATTGTAAGCTTCGTTCAATTGTTTTTCATCGGATACATCACATTTAATGAACATCACTCGCAGTGTACCGAATTTATTCTTAAGCTCCCTCTCCAAGACTTCGCTCTTATGTTCCGCCAAATCAAGAAATGTGACATGCTGTAAATATTTAAGAAAAAATAACTTTTATTTTTACGTTTATACAAATGTATTTTATGTGAGACGGGACTAGATAATTATTTTGCAAACAATACGAGTATTGTTGAAGCTCATATGTGAGAACTCTCAAAAGACAAAGATGCAATCCTGCCGATGTAATAGAAGATTGGGTTCGTCCGGATTAGACATTATTGATATCTCGGGATATATCGCCTTGATTAAGACCTATTTAATACTCTTAAGTAACGGATTGAAACTTACCCTAGCATTTTGTGATAGTATACTTCGGACCAATCCTGCACCAATGCCTGTTGCACCCCCGGTCACTAGGATCACTTTACCTTCAAAAGTAAAGTTATCTTCCATGTTTATTTTAACAGCAGTACTTCAATAAGCTATACATATCTTTTTGCATTTATTTTACGTATTGAAAAACATAATACGTACAAAACACGATGATAGCAATGTTAAACTAAATGCGAATACCACTTTCAGATTCAATAACCGATTGCATAAGCAATTGACTTCGTGCCTTATCTCTTGGATAAGATAAAATTCGTAAACAATTCATATAATTTCGTTAATTTAAGTGATAACTGTTATTAAAGAAACATATTTCAATCAAGGGATTTTTTTTAAATCATATTTCGGTCTTTTAGGGAGCTTAATTTATTTACTACATAAAAATATATTAGTGTGATATCCATTTTACGGGGTTTTAGCTTATCGTATGGCGTCGGGTCGCAAAAAAAACAAATCGACAAAGTAATTTTAATTCATGTTGCTAGATTTTTTTTTCAGAATTTATTGAAGTTGGATCATCATATAAACAATAAAAAATCATAGAGTTCAAGGAAAAATATCTTCAGATAAAATATGGTAGGCTTTTTTAACTTTTTCAGTTATGTTTATAGCGGGTTTATTGCCGTTAACCAGCCAGGTATCTCCGCTGGTACCATTCTGATAAACATGTACCACGCCCTCAGCTGCTGACCAAATCCTAAAGAAAAAAACAATAAACTACTTTTATGGCCGAACACAATTTAACCGAAATCCATATTCGAACGTTGAATTCAAAAATTATTTTAAATAACCATTTTGTGCAAAAAGTTTCGTATGACATCTCAACAATAGAGTTTTCCCGTCAAATTTAAAGAAAATGGAATGAAAAATGTTTATTAAAATACCGTGGAAAAAAAAGTTCGAGATCGAATATTGATTTCATTTTGGTATTCTATTGGTTTGAATAAAATTATATTAAATAACATAACATACGTTTGAGTGGGATAACTTTTACTGACAGACTCCATATTCTCATCGATTATAGGATCGAAACTTTTCATGTTTGGCATCATGTTTGAATCGGTGGCGCCAAAGCATATCGTTAACACTCTTACTCCAGTTATTGAATAATATTCTTGTTTCTGTAAAATTATTTAATTTATTACGTTACAATTATCTTGCTTATATTATAAATGCGAATGTTTAGATGGATGGATGAATATTTGTATGAAGATAACTCCAGAATGACTGAACGGATTTCGATGAAAATTGGCGTACATATAGAACATAGTCTGAAAGAACACACAGGCTACTAATGATGACTTTTGATGACCGCTAGTGCTTTACAAAAGCTGACGAAAATTTAACAATAATTTATGAAAAATGCTTTTTAAATTGGAGACAATGATTTTAAATGGGGAGAAAAACTTCCTTTTTCTCAATAGATTGGGAACATGATCAAGTGTGACAATAGTACTAAATATATCACAGATTAACAAGAAAAAAAAGCCGACTTCATAAAAAAAGCATTTACAAAAAAAACATTTAAAAAAAAGAATAGAAATCTATACATAATTTTTTGACATCAGAAAAACAGAAACATAGAGACAATTTTCTTGCATAGAGACGTTTTTGCAGCATCGTTATAACAGACGTGACCATCTTAACAAAGATGTCGCAATTGGTTTTATAGCTACGTAGTTTATGAGTTAGAAAATGCTGTAAATAATTTTATAATACTTACACCAATACAATTACTGAATTGAAGCACCGCACTTTTACTGCCGCAATAAATAAAATAACTTGGAGACGGTTGAGATAAAGCCCCGACAGAGGAAATATTTACTATTGTCCCTCCCCTGCCGCCGGTATCCTTTCTCATAACTTTTAAAGCTTTTAATGTACTTGTAACAAGTGCTGTCTGGAAATATCAGAACAAAACATTGAATACAATAATGGAATTGTATAAAATCACTGAGCTCTATAAAGGGATAGGAAATTGCGCAGAAAGACAAGTTTTGCTTCGTTCCGACTTAAAAGCGCCTGTTGTAGTTCAAGATGGGTAATTTTATCTCATTATTAGCTCGGACTCTACACCGTTACCAACCGCAACCGTTAGCGCCAACGGCGAAACTCTTATTATATGCTGTCCATGTATAGGATTCAGTGTTAAAATACATTAAAATAAGCAATCATTCATTTAAGAAACCAATCATTACTATTATTATAAAAACGCCTGTCAATTTAAATCGGCTAAAGGTTAAATATTATTTTTTGCTATGTTACAAACATCATTTTTCAAACTTAAAATACAAAGTATAATATAATACATAATGTACAATAAATTAGGGATTTACTTACGTAGTTAACTTCAATGAGTTTTTTATAAGTGTCCATCGTTTCTTGACCTATAGCAGCATTGTTTATAACAATATCTATTTGACCGTTTTCTTTTTGAACGGAATTAAATGCCTCATAGAGTTCATTTTCTTTAGTTATGTCACATTTTATATATTTGACACTGGCTTTAACAAATTTATTGCTTAGTTTTTCTTCCAGCTTGAATAGGGAGTTGGCATCGATGTCCAGTACAGTTACCTGCTAGTAAAGTTATATTATCTACTCTGTGGTTAAATAAAACAATTGTTTAGATACATTGTTTGACCACGAACTTTATGGAATTTATACAATCTTACTAATATTATAAATGCGAATGTTTGAGTGGATGGATGTTGCATCTCACTGAAAATTGGAATAGATGTACAACATAGTCTGAAAGAACACATAGGCTACTGATTTAGTTTTTTTTTTCGCGACGGAGTTGCGGGTGCCATCAGGAAAAGATAAACACAACACTAATAGGTATTTGTTTTACTTATCCCAAGGATTGCTTATTGATTAACTTGTTGTTAAAACCGTAAGGTTCTCTATAGAAACACTCGCATAAAATCGATCATTGTATCGTCATCGTATCGTGCTCCTTTAAAATCTAAGATAACTATAAGTTTTTGTATGTCTGAATACAGTGGAAAAGGACATTATATTGAGCAAGACAATACTGAAATAAACTTCTACTATTTATTTTAGGCGAGGCTTCCACCAAACAATACAAAATCAACTATGATCTTACCTTTGCTTCCTTTTCTAACAAAATTTCAACAGTAGCTGCCCCTATCCCGTTTGCCCCCCCAGTTATTATCACCACTTTATTTTTAATATCAAACATTTTCATTAAACGACGTCTGAACAATATTAAATATAGTAGTAGACAATTGTTATTGTGTTTTTATAATAAAACTTAGTGACCGACAAAGACGGATAACAAACGAGATAAGTATTTATATATAATAGTTACAAATGATAACACAGGTTACGCATTTATTTATATCTTTAGTTGAAAAAAGTATTAAATGCGACCTCTCTAAAAGAAAAAAAATCTTAAAAGTCTATATAACATTAAAGCAAATTGATTTTTTTTTTATTAAAAACAAATAAACTTTTGTTTCACTGTATTTATGGACTATTTCTTAATCAAATTATTGTTAGTAGCTAGACATTATTGTAATCTGATTCACGTAAGTTATACATTTATTTTATTCGTATAATAAATTAACAATTAATTGCTTATTCAATAATAAAATTAGCAAATACAAAAAATATGTGGTGTAAATAAACTTTATTTATATAACATACCTTACTGATTTAATAAAATTGGCGCAACGATAAATAATTAACGTAGCTCTTAAAACTAAAAAAAACTTCCTTATTTTAACTATTATTTTTTAGGAATAAATTTTGTATGAATAACGTAACATCCTGTATACAATTTAACGGCCTTTTGTTCAGAGTACGCCCTGACTTAACGTTTTGTATGCGTTTTTAACATTTTCCGTTATTTCTTCAGCCGGCCTGTTTGAGGTCACGAGCCAAGTGCTTCCGCTGTTTCCATTAATGTACGCGGTTAGAAGACCTTCAATCGCAGACTGCACACTGCAATGTATAACATTGTACATTAAACAAGTATAAATACTAACATTTATATGATAATAAATCATAAGTGGACATTAATAGAGTAGAAAATACAACAAACCAATTAATTAATTAGAAATTGTACCTTTGAAGTGGCAGTTTCTTAATACCGATCATTATATTTTCATCAATATCTTTTATAAAACCACCAACTTTTTGTGGATCCAAAAGAGATGTGTCAGTACTACCAAAGCATACAGTTACGACACGGACTCCGAATGATTTGAAATGTGGCTCCATCTGGAAAAAAACTACGGTAGTTAAATAGTTTGTATACATCGATGATCACTTATCATTTAATAAATGTCTTATGCTGTATTGCAACAACTCTAACTACAATATTGCATTACAAATTAAGAAATATTTAACAAACGTTCAACATTTCAAAATATTTGATTGCATATTACGCCAATATGGCAAATATAAATGATGTATTTTATTTCATTGGTAAACTATAACCTCAAATATTGACTGCCAGATATAGAAATCGATTCCACACCTCACTACATCAACCGTCAAGTTAAAGAAAACGTAATTTCCTAAATTAAATAAAGAATAGATGGAATACCGGAAAGATTTATTGCGTAAGCATTGCTGAATTGTTATTTGAAAAATTAACTTCGATTAGTGAAATTTTTTCAAGGCGATATTATTACAAGTCATATTTCAGTGCAAAAATATTACATAATACTGTTTGATAAATGTCAAAGTAACTTGGAAAGCTTTTTGAAACAAAACAATCAAACTAAAAGTCTGTGCTTGAATCAGTTTGGAGTATTAATTTTTATCTAGAGGTTATCGCAAACTAAACGGAACTGTGTTTACTGATAATGGCATTTGTTTTAGGAATTATTGCAGTTACAAGAATTTACGCCGGACTATGTTTAGCAGCGGAGTTATTAAAGCTTAAAACAGAACGATATATTGCTAATTTCACGAATAACTAAGGTACATACAAGTAAGGTCTTTACACAAGGCGACGTAAATCTTCGAAACTAATACTGCATCCTTGCGTCGCGAGTATCGCGTTGCACGCGCTTCGTGCACATAACGTTGAATTGACTATGCGGTTAGTACACGACTACAAGGCAACAGTACCCACCAACGTTGACTCGTCGATGGTAGTTTATGCAGTCAGTACAGTCATATCGACTATAAGTCAACTGTACACATTTGCTCCGCCATCTTTAACACGGCTAATTTTTCACAACGATCTTGACAAAAATGTTGCGAACTGGTAACGGCTTTGGCGACAAAAAAACAAAATGTCAGCGACGCGCCGCGTATCAGTTTAAGTCTTATTTCATCGTGCATTAGTGCTTAGTACCTAAATTTACTGAATTTCTCTGGTTTCTTTGAAATAGAGATATCAATGCTGATATTACTTTAGGCTTAGAAAACTTCAATCGAAAGACAATGTCTCTGTTTTTACAAGGAATATTTGACAATAAGTGTCAATACCGCTGTAGTTGAAACCTAAAGATATACCGTCACAATGAACCACTGCCATCGTGCTGTCTCTCGCAACCTTGATCAGTACGTCGGCCCAACAGTAGTTGAAAGACTAGTTCTTCTAGTCCTATGTCTACTAGTTCTTTAAGAATCATTAAAACACAATCATCTTTGTCATAAAAATGTTAATGTAAAAAAAAATTGTCTTACCCCAAAGCAGTTGCTGAATTGTAATACTGCACTCTTCGTTGCGCTGTATATTGGTAGTAACGGTGTTTGCATCAATCCAACTATAGAAGATATGTTCATAATCGTGCCCCCCTTTCCTCCCCGATCTTTGCGCATCCATTCAAAAGCTTTTAAGGTGCTCGTTATCAATGCGGTCTGTAAATATGACAATGAACGAGGTTAACAGTGCATCAAGACTATTAACATTAGAATAGAGATGTTTAATTTTAAAAATAACATACAATTTTTATTCTGTTTTTTAAAGCTAAGTGTTCATAGGTCGGTATCGGAAGCATCGCACGTTTCGAATCAACGGGATTTTAATCGTACCTAATTTTTTTAGATATCTCTAGAACGGCTGCATGGGTTACGATGAAATTTGAAAAAATGTAGAATACAGTTTGAAAGAACACATAGGCTACTGATTAACTTTTTTTTAAATGCGTCCAATGATAATCATTGTAATTGCGCTTTGGCAATTCCGAATCCGATGCTCTGATGGGCAACTTTTGCGATGCGTGCGGATGACGTCATTCGGTATGCTGAACTGTGCTTGCGTTATTGCTGCTTGCGTACTTACCACATTAACAGCTATTTCCTTTTCATATACACTTGGACTGTCGTTCATAATCCCTGCATTATTAATAACAACATCAATGTATCCATATTCTTTAGTCGCAATGTCGAAAGCATTTTGTAATTGTGTTGTTATGTCACATTCAACGAATTTCGCCCTATTCTTTCCAAGTTTATCGTTTAGTTCCTTTTCCAGTGACTTTCCTTGAATGACATCAATATCTAAGGCGACGACATGCTGCAAAATATTGCGAATTTATTCAAGTGTTGTAATAATGTGTAAAATAATGAATGTACAAACTGTATAAACTTCAACATAACATCAACGTATATTATAAATACGAATAAGCATAAGTTTTTAGTTAAGCCGAGTTGACGAACCAATTAGCATGTTTCGGGCGCACGTTATTATTAGTACAATAATATCCGTCTATTTTTATTGCGACAAAAAATGAAACGGATTTAACCTCCAACAGAGTTAGAAAAAAACAAGTATGTTTATATTATTATAATAAATATTACCTTTGCACCGCGATCCAAAACTGTTCTGACAATTCCTGCACCAATTCCACTAGCGCCCCCAGTAACCAAGAATACCTTATCTTTTATTTCGTACATTGCGTGTAATTTGAAATAACAATGCACGTTGTTATCCGTTCGAACGTCTGATTAGTTCAACTGGTGGGGGCAGAATGAAGCGATGCGAGCGTCCGAACTAAAGTGCAACTGTATGTTGAGACGAGTAAAAAACATGTTAAATTTATTTTAAGTGTCTGTTCCCACTTAGGTGCTGTGTGGTTGAGATGTCTCGATAAGAACTTGAGATACAAATTATCACATGAAGCAAACTCTTCTTAGTGTGGTAGGTGGTATAATCCTCCTCCCCTTCCCACTTTTTTCTGATACGGTGAGAATTGAAAGGAGAGATAGTCGTCGGGGGAGAGGATGAATATGTAAATAAGAAGCGATTACACTAATAAAAAATTCTAATGGTATCTATGTGAAGATTTCCCTAGGCCAATTACTGTTAAAATTCAATCGTGATCTATACATTAAATATAAATGAGATAATATGTAAATAATGCAATAAAAATTTAACATTGTCAAGGTTACACCTAATTTTGAATTACGCAAATTACGTAATAAAATGTAAAAGGTAAATATTTTTTTTTCTAACCTAATCACCTAAGCAAATTTCTTAAAACATATTGAACAAAAATGTAAAACTTTATGGGGTAACAAGCTGTCACCCGCGACTCTTCCTAGTAATCTGTGTTCTTCTAGATTATATGTTATATATCTATCCCAAATTTACTTATTATACTTTATAATATTAGTAAGATAGAAAACATGGTATCACTTAGTTCTTTTGCATTTGATGTTTTATTAAATAACGTATCATAAAAATAAACATTACATAATTATTTAAGTATTTTAAACATGATGCAAATAAATAAAATGAATTGCAAACTACATAGCCGGTGTTATTTGTTAATGACTTTAAAACAACAAAGTAGAGTCGGTACTCTGTTTGTGTAACATGTTAGCAATCGTGCATTGTGTTGACACAACCTAAAAGTAAAATTACACATTGGAGAGACTTTGTTTGGGATAAGGATCAGTGCTATCTTAAGCCAAACTGTAACTTTATATTATTATGTATATACATATTGTATGTACTATATATACGGGCTATGTATACTTTGTAGAGTTATAAAAATAAGTATTACTTTTAACCTGAAGGTTGTATTAGAGTTGTTTTAAAATGATACAAAAAGTAGTTTTCATTGAAATTTCCTGTTATATACTAGTTTGTGCAACATAGTTCTATATTAGATTCTTTTAAACTTTTGAGCACATAATTTGTGTTATGTATTTTATAAGTACCCAAAATTCACTAAAATTGAAATAATTTAACTCTACTACAGATTTTGCAACGACAAACAGGCACTATTATTATTTGTACTCATTATAAAAGTAAAATTAAAAAAAAAAATGGTAAGAGTTATCGTAATTAATCCAAATAATTTTCATATCTAAGCCACTGATCTGTATTTGAGCAACGTTCAATTTCAAGGTCCAAATCAGAGTTGTATAATGAAAGATTTTCTACTTCAATTCCTGTGAAAATATATTCTAAAGTCTTGTATTTATTATCTTTACCTCTGACAACTATATAGTTTATTCCTATAAATGTTATAACAAAATAAACGTATCAAATATGCTTAAACTAAGATTAGCAAGTTAAATAATATGTTATGAGTAATAACAATGTTAAATTATTTAAGAAAATGAAGAATATCAAAGTAAACAATAATTTCGTCATGAAAAACGACAATAACAAGAAGTATTTGAAATAACAACCGTAAATATCTGGCTATTGGATCGGAAATAACATGTAAATTTTAGAGTAAAAAATTTTTTTCGAATACAAATTTTCGCTGCACGAAATTTAACACAGTTTGTGCATACTGTAGTTTTCCAATTCCATGAACAAAGTTTTTTCTATTTTTTACAGAGCAATCTATTTTAAAATTCACTTTGTGTACTTGTTTTGTAACTTAATCCTTTTGTATACTGACAAATTATAGTATTTAAATATGATTTTCCTTATTATCACCGTGTATTTTTGCTAGCAAAAAGCTTGTTGGTCAGAACAAGAACTCACGGCAAATGAGACCAAACAATTTTTAAATATTACATTTTTTTGGTAAAAGGGGGAAACTCCTAAATACCGAAGTGGTCGCTGCTCATAGTTATTCATATTCGCATAAGAATGGGGAAACATTGTCTTATCCTTTCATATGCGTCCTGTCTTCTTATCTCAACACACACATCATACGATACGCAGAATTACTTGCACTTCTCGCCTTGTCTACTGTGTTTGTGGTACTTCACCGGCTAAGCCTACCCATTCGTACAACAGTCGTTGCTGTGCGCTATACCACTGTAAAATATATTTTTTACAAGGTATAAAATGATCGGTACATTTTCAAACACATTTAATTTCAATTAATTTAAAAGGTCCAATTAATAGTTTAAGATAAAGTTAGCAACATAATTAGAAACTCGAAGTTTTAACTGCTAATGAGCGAGGAGCGTCAACTTGACAAATAACTAGTTAAATAATAAACAAAGGAAAGGCGCCAGTTGCGGACTTCAGTTCAAAGCGTATTCATTAGCAATTATGTCACCTCAATTAAATATTTAACAATCTATTCATAAGTATTTTAACTTTCAAGTTAACATTACATATATAGAATTTTAAAGCAATGGCTATTTCATCACTTATATTACTAATTATGGGAGATCAACAACTTCTTCTTCGTATATATCATTACTGAAGGTCGTCATCGTCTTAATATGTCTTTACAGACGCGTCGACCTTATGGGAAATAAGTTGTCATATATAAAATGCCAATCAGGTCGTAATATAATCATTACAGCTGGTGAAAAGGCTCCGTTCTTAAAGGAACTTGAGGCATATATTTAGGGTCTATTAAAGAAGTTATACGACAGCGATAAAATTTAAATGTACATGAAATTCTTGCATGGTATTTTTAATTGTAACAAAAATAAATATTAAAACAAAAAAAGATGAAATATACTAGAAGAGTTTAATCAAATCAATTCGTGTACGTGCTGTCTTCAATGGAATTTCCAATGTGCTATTCGTATTGCTTTTGAAGTACGCTCTTTTTTGTGACGCTTCCATTCATTCCGTTTAGCGTCGGGGTGAAACGTTTCGTGCTTTTACGTCGGAGCACATCCGCGAGAATGCTTCAGCGTACTCCGCTGTTCCATATGTTTTTGTCCTCCTCAACTACTTTTCACAGCTCTGAATAGTAATGTCACTGGAGTATTTCTTAAATCGCACTCACGTAAAAGATTTTACTTATTTTTATGTTTAATCATTACTATTAGGTGCCACTTGAAGCCACCGATACCCGATGACCACAACAAGTCTGAAAAGACTTCGATGACGAAGTAGGAGAAGAAAATAAGAATCACTTTTGTTGACTAGAGTGATAAAAAAATAGACAAACTTAATAATATTTTGATCTCAAACCGCATAATAAATGCGGCAGAAAGATGCGTTCCTTTATAAAATTTAAAACTACAAAACAGTTTCAACGTATTTAAGAAGAGAAAATATAATTAGAATTTGGAAATTGTAAATTCGTCTCGATGGTCAGAACAAGGTTTACTGAAGCTAGTATTTTATAATACAGTTAGAATTTTCAGAATATTTACAGGTCCGTTAACCGCAAACTATGTTCAGGTACGGCAAATTAATTCCATAAAACATCACCCCTATAACCGACAAAGCTGTACCAGTTTACACAAAGTGGCATGCGTTAGCTATACAGGATGTTACCACACCGTGTAAATATTGTTAGGGTGTACATAAAATCAATTTTACGCCGAGCTTGCAAGTTTCAAGCGTAATGGTTTATTCGCTTGAAGAGCTACTTGTGTGCATTACACGGTCTGAAAACTGTGGAAAGTAAAAGCTAATACACTGTTATCTAGGACATAGATGCAGGATATCTGGACTTGTAGTAGTTATAGTGATAGAGTAACGCAACATTAAGATGAGGAAGAATAAAATTGTGTCTATGAGGCAATGAATTTTGCTAGAAATGTTTTTTGTTGTGATGTTCTGGCTGTCCCTTTACAAACAAAGAATTTAATTCACTTCCCACTGAGAATAAAATTAAACAACAGTCTGTCACCATAGTGGATATGAAATGGTATGTTGCTGGATATGTATGTATGGATATGTATGGTAGATTTAATTGCATTGTAAGCGTTAAATTAACATTTTACCGCAATGGGTAGGAAATATATGTCCTCAACTGTATGTCTTCCAAAAGTTTATATATTACTCCTACTATTGTTCTTCATACGAAAAAATGCTACAAAAATTTTAATGACAAAATGTCATAGTTTCTTTTAATGTAGTGTTGACAAGTTGCATAGAGCTTTCGCACTTGTTCCCGTTCCCGATTAAACTCGAATGTACTCTGCCGCGCCATGCCCTGTAACCATTGACACTATTCAACAACTTTGAATACGGTAAATGTGAAACTGTAATTTCGAAATTCATTCAAAAAAAGATACATTAATAAATCAACTTTTCAACTATCACTTGAGTATCTTTATAATATGAAATTGTCTTTTCTAAGATCAACTTTCGAAACTGCTTAGAAACATTATACCAATCTTAATTCAAGATTAAAAGAATCATCTCTAAAGTATAGGAGTTGGAGTTGAGTCTAATTTATCTCACACATATCTATCTAGCACATCTAACATACTCGTACACACACACACACACACACACGTTAAAAAGCTTCAATTTGTAAAATAAAAAGAAATCCGTTCTGGAACGTTTTATTCTTGCAAGCATTTATCATTGCCAAAAAAAGACAAAGTAGAGCTCCAAATAAATGCCGGTAACACTAAAGTGTATACTGGCCAAAAATAAATAAGTACAAGAAATGTAATCAAGACTAAGTTAATATTAGTCTGATTTTAAGTAAACTAGTTATCTATTATATTCGCTTTGTTTGTTATTTAAACATTGATAAGATTCTACGATGATTAACTTAATAACCGAGTTGGTACTTTATAGAGTAGTTACGTACTAGTTGGTCGACCAGTTGATCAACCAGTTGACTGACTGGTTATTACCCTTATTCAGGAGGAT